TCCCGGTAAATGTCGGACTGGACCACGGCAACTGCCTTCGAAATCCTTTGCAGTCCATTATTCACTGACAATCCTATATTCCGGTGCTGTGTAGTACCGACGAAAACGTCATGAAATAAACAACAAAAGCACACCTACACACTTCATTACAGAACATGGACGAGGAGCAAGTTTTGGGTACACTCCAACACCTGATATTTATAATAATCCAAAACGTAAAAGAAAATGCATTATATATTTTTTTACTTCTCACACACAAACGTAATTTTTATATCCTGGCAGTTGCCAATATAGTTCGACTCCTTTACAAAAAATATATATATATATATATATCGTCTAACCTACAGAAAGGATTAAAAGTAATTCAAATAACGTGATTTACTTATAACGTGTTTTCATATTATCCAAATCATCAAAAAACAGCCAGAAGTCAATTTTCACACAGGTGTATTGTAAAGCGAAGTAAGGCTGTAGAGAGAACTGACACTGAGAAGCATCACCTTCTGGCATCTATGCAACGAGATGCCCTCCATACAGGTGTCATCGTAACAACATTTCAGGGGGTACTGAATTGAGCTAATGTTACCCCCCCTAGCTGACACGCACGCATTGTTAGTGATAGTGAAGTAAATCCGGCTGACAGGGGGCGCAGCATGGAATGGTGTGTCAACCGAAATGCAGGAATTAAGGTCGCCGATTTGAAAGCTTCTGTGGTGGACAGACAGTCAGAGAAGTTAGACATAGAAGGCCGTAAAGCTTCATTTCCTTACGAAATGATTAAATTATGACTGAAGTGACATTCAAATTGTTCCCGGTTAACTGATTGGCATTTCCTCCATAGTCATAAATATTCATGTATTCAAAACTGTCTCTGTATATAAACGACTATTACTTTGGATTTCTTGAGAAGAATGTATTAAGTCACTTTTCATAATTGTGTCTAATGTTTACCTTGTAAGGAGTTTATGAAATTTAATCTAACCGTGCTTTAACCAATTTAATTCCGCTGTTCCAATCTGAGAACAAATTTTCGTGATCCTTTTTTAAAAACATGGAACGTGCGATCGAAACGGAATCGACCTAACCATGAAGGGGAAGGATCATATTTTTCGTTTCGGGCGCTGGTTCACGTTTTCGATACGACTGAATGCATCTATTTCGCTATTGAATCATTCATTTTTGCCAGCTGTGTGCATCGATATGAAAATGTGTTTAATGGAGTGAACAGGAATAGTTCTTGGCGTTTCTCTCTGTTTTGAATGATGGTAAGGATGTTTACTTATTTCCCTGAGTATAAATTTTTAGCTGTTAATCGAATATGAACGCGCGGTAGGTATTTGTTTCCTATTATTACCTTTGGGAACACAGGGACCATGTATGAGCAAAGGAGTTACTGAACAATTTTCCTACCTAAACGTATGATGACCCTTATTGTATATACTCGTATATTGTTTCCAGTGTTCCAGCTCATATACATTCTATTGCTCTTAATTAGTTCTACACGTACAGTTTTGCGTGCAACAATTTATTAAACTTAAAACGTTAGTCACTTTAAAAGATTTTACTACATGTTCCGATCATCAGGTGTTAAAAGGTGCGAGTGAGGAAACTGCTGCCTTTCCGCGTTGATGTATAGCTGTATACATTTCCCCTAGTGCGCATGTGCGTATTCATTCCTCCATTCATAAATTCGAATGTCGTCTTAGAGTAAGAATTTTTGTGTCTCTTCATTCATTCATTCATTCATTCATTCATTCATTATTGGAGGGGGTGGGTTTCCCCATGCACCGCGACCGGTTGTTGATCTATTGTACGTCCCCCTTTGATATTCTACCAGTCGCCATACCCTTCCGGTAGTGGTGCTTGCTATCAGCCCCGCTCAGCCAGCGAGTTCGGTCCCTCTACTGGCAATGGTACCCGATACTTCCCCCATCTACCGGAGGCATTGGAAACTACTTGGGCAGGAAAATTTTACCTAATTTTGCTCAGAGGTCTCCTAGAGACATGGGGATCTTTTACGTGCCGTAAATCTACGACACGGGACCCACAAGTCCTCCCTCCCGGAGGACTTGTTCCCTGAATTTTTCAGCCCTTAAAAATTCCACGACCGCTTTTTGTGTCTCTTACTTGAATGTTTCCCAGTAATGACCGTTTGTTATTCGAACATTCATATTCATGTAATAGTTTTCGTTTGATCGAAGCACGTATCAGTATTTTGAAACACAATTTCACAGGTTCTCGTAACATACTGAATTATGGTGTGACATGGTGTTTATGTCTCGACTGGTTTAAATAATAGATCGCCTAAGACTCTCTATCTATCTAGACGTGAGAATTATATAGCAGTATATATATGAAAACCGAATGGGAACAAATGTGGAAAGGTCTGGCCCCGTTTTACCGACATGTAAAGCACAAAGAGCTTGTCCGAATGAGAGATTCTCAGCCGGAATTAGAGTATAATTTCGAAACAAAAAATATTACCACAGAAGGAAAATTAATACCTTTATTTCTATGAACTTTAAGGAATTTTTTAAGACTTTGTGAAATTAATTAACAAACATCATACGAGTAAGGATTTACAACAGCTGTTCATTGTAGAAGTAGAGACGATGACAACCGCTTCCTGAATTAAAGATTGGCAAAGCCTCACCTCAAAATACATGATGTGACAATTAAGTTCCAGAACTGAGGTCATAAAAGAACCACACAAAAAATAAAAAAATATTTATTAATATCATCACTCAATATAGTCCCTGTCCGCTTCCTCACAACGTTTACACCGCTCATACAAGAAATCGAATGCCCGAGAAAACGCTTCTTGCCGTATCGCCTTCAGTTCTCTCGCCCACAGTCAACTGGATCGATGAAACAGCCTCGAATCTCGTCCCCTTCATTGCAATTTTTAATTTAGGAAATAAAAAAGTCAGCCGGCACTAAATCAGGTGAGTAGGGTCGATGAGATAATAGGGGGATCCCTCGTTTCACCAAAAACTCGGAGACAACGCCCGAAGAAGGCGCCGGTGCATCGTCATGTAGAAGATACCAGGACTCACTTTCCCGAAACTCAGGCCTAACGCGATGAACTAGAGAGATCAATCTCTTAATCGCCCCTTTACTAAATTTACCGTTTACAGTCTGTTTTTCCGGCAAACATTCGTGATGAATAATACCTTTAGCATAAAAATTAAAGTCAAAATTGTTTACCCCCGCGATTTTTGCATTTTCACTTTCTGAGCTTCTTTGATGATTTTATACCATTCAAACACAATTGTTCTGATAAAAAATTCCTCACTGTACGCACTTTTCAATATTTCAATCGGTTCAGTAGCTGTTTCTTTAATTTTACACAACACTTAATCATTGCTCTTATTTCCATTTTGAAACTTTCGACACGACGAAAAAAGTAACTTCGCAAAACTAACTGTAAACCTCAGATGCATCAACCAAACCAGGTCTTTTTTGTATCCTTGTGATTCTAATAAACAGAAATCTGTCGTCTTTTATTTTAAAGACCCTTTTGACAATTCGTCACACTTCCTTCTCTCCATCTATGCTTATCACATCTCTAGCAATCCATGGCTCCCCATGTCCTCTCAACCAACCTGACAACCTGAGAAAGTTCGAGCCGAATGTCTCAGGAATATCATCTTATATTCCTCCTATCATCAGACAGACGTACTGAACGTGGTTTGATATTGAATTATATTTCATGTTGTAATACACGTAAATCCCACAAGTTTACTTTCTGATGGAAACATAAATATTCGCCTTTAGATAAGAGTTTAAGGGAGCTACAAATATTTTAAAATATTAAATCAGGTTGTCTTATAAATACATATGTATAAACATCTTTCTGTCCAAGTCTGACTGTCGCGACTCTAATGCACTTACAAAAGGAACAAATTCTTAAAATCAGTACACATATGTAAAAACGAATTACCGAGCCCAGAATTTCGGTGTTTCTATTTCGAAATAACTTTCTTGGAACTATGATTACCTTATGTTTCTCATTTCTGAAGTAACCAGGGATTCAAGGGGAAAATGTTATATTCTCAGCTGTACGTCCCATGCAAATATGAGTATGTTTTTAAATTTCCAATACCGTCCACAGTGTGATGAATTATTCAATACATGTAGAAGAAATCTGGTTTACAGAATTTATGTTATACAGAAAATAAAAATAAAAAAATAGTTATTTTTATTGTCTTCGAAGATCTCATAGCAACGATTCACTTGTCTGTTTCTTACCGGTTTCTTACTCTGTGCTCTCTACCTTTAAGATGGAGGCAATACGTTTTTCTGAATCTTTATAAAACTTCCATCATATTACTCGGCCTTACAACCGCGACGATTGTAATTTTCATCATTTTAATCTACCTAATTCAGAAGATTAAGAATGTTTGTTTTGAAATGTAAGATTACGATTAAAATTAGCCACGAGATTCAAAAGTACTTTCACTAAATTTTTGTTCACATACATAGATGATCACCAATTTATATTCGTTTGCAATTTTAATAAGGTTCTCATTCTTTTCGAGTGTGACACAAGGTGATTAAAACTTGGCTATAATTCAGAGTTTGCCATAACAGATCCTGCAGCACCTAGACTCTGAATTAACTTTTGTAAGAAAAACTTTAATACGGAACATTTTGGTATAGGGTGCCCAATAATATTAAATACGTTTAAAAATTGTGGATTATTACATACGGGAGAAAATGTCTGTGAATTCATCACTCTGCAAAAGCACACACAGAAAATACGATATGGCTCACACAGACAAAGGAGAACAATATGGCTCTCACATACGAACAGGCCGTCCTGACGACGGCTTGCAGACAGCCAATTGTAATCTTTTTTTGTATAGTCTCAATTTTATATACCATTAAGCATTAACTAGTTTTTATACACGTCTGAGAAATCTTGACGGAATGAATTCCAATTCTCTGTCTACTCAAGTCTCATTTCTTCTGCTCTAGTTAATTTGAGCTGTACTCACAGATGGTGCTGCATTCTTCTGGCTCATTCCTGAAACAGAGACAAAACACTTAATTATATCCATGCGTACAACTTGGGAAGTCTTAAATGAAAGCTACAGATCGCAAGCAGATTCTTTCAGGTCGTTCATTAAGTTGTCCGTCCTCGACCGCTTTTAAAACCGGCTTTACATTCGTATGAATACGTAGTGTGAACTTTTGGTTTCGTATCAGCGAGCAAGTTAGTCAGAGCAGTAAAGCTTATTATTTGTGTTGTTTGTATATCCGGTTCGAATCAAGGCCTACATACAGATTATCCTGATATATTTCGTGGTTTCTCTCAGTCCCTCAAGGAAAATTCCGCCATAGGATCTCAATAGGCCACCAACTCTTACATATACATCTTTTCAAATTAATAATTGACCAACCATCCATTAGATGGTGCAAAGTTTGAAGTACTCACAAAATCTTTAAAGGAACCACAAATAGCACAGTATGATTCATACAGGCTCTGCGTCATTACTGATGCCTACTCATGTCTAGCGAACTGATTTCAGTCCGGTCATCCACCACTTTCTTCAAATCCTAAATGTAATATGAGTACTGATGCAATATCATGTCTGTATTTATTTTTATACCTACGAAAATAATTGTAGCTCATTACGGTGCATAAACACAACAATTTGATTAAAATTTATAGAATAAGATTTTTAACTCTTTATTTATTCATGTTTTAAAATATAGCAAGTTGGAACTCCAATAAGTGAGAGCCCGACTACAGGGAGTGGTGATCCTGCCTCAGGCGAGCTCCACGTTCTACTAGCCTGGTGGGTAGCTCCTGGTAGGTGTCATTTTCCATGGTTAGGTCTCGGGTAAACAGGACTTGTTAGCCACAGTAGGCAACTTGTCTAAGGGAAAGAAATCTTGATAAAACCCAGGTCTTCCAAGATAGGGGGTTTGCAACAGGCTGGTAACTGCTCAAGCAGATAAGATAGAGTCTTGTACTCCTCAAAGATGCTTAATGTTTGAGAGATGGAAGGGAGTAACAGGCTCAACGCCTGCAGAAGTTTTCGTGTAAGATATTACATAATACCTCTTCCAAGCAACAGGCTGTTCTGAAGTCATCATCAATTTATGAAACACAATGAATATGACACAATACTTCGGGAAGGATGATTCCTTATTTTTGCAAGTTTGTTCTAAACACAAAAATTATCATCCATCTCCTGTGTACAAGAATGAAGATTGAATTAAAAAAAATTCCTTCAAATATGGTATCCCTAAGAAGGTTCACTGAAACAGAGAATGACCTTCACTTACTAACCCGTCTAGTCTTAACCTCGTGCAGTAAGCTATTCTGCAGCTACGGCAGTGGAGTTCTGACAATCTAACCTTCGAGCGTACTTTTCGAATTTTTCGCAATGAAAGTCAAAAGTGGGGATTCACAGACACACACAGACATAAGGACACACAGCATGGAGATCGTATCAGACTTATTTAGGACCCATTTGAAAGGCTCCTAATTTGAGAGAGACCTAGGATGAATAAACTCTTGAATACCAGATCGGAATAGAATCCGTTCAACCGTTCGCGCATTAGCAAAGCACACGTCCATCTACACACAGAGACACACAGACAAATGACATTCCAGAGACCGCTCTCTTACAATCAGGGCAATCGTGACGTATTTTCTCATATACTCTGAATATGATAGAATAAAAATCTGCTAGAAAACTGCGAAAAATCGCCCGGAAGTAGAGCAGAGGCAACTACTGAAACTTCGGTAAAATGGGCTATCTGTAATATACTCATAACCCAGTGCTAGGGATTGCTTACTCTAGACAGAATATTTATACTTCAATTACAAAACCTTTTACCGAGCTAATCACGAAGGAAACCGAGACGATTCAACCGCAGGCAAATTACAGCTCAATTCCGAAGAATTTAATTATTATTCCAATCGAGAAGATACCTTAGGGAAATTCTAAAAATTAAAAAGGAAGTAAGCTGACGTCTTTCCTAAATTTGCATGCGTATTGGATGTCTATCGATTTACAAATGCTCGCTACTACTCCTCTCAATCCCGGTAATTCAGATGTCCTCGTATGGATGACGTCACATAACTGTAGCTTCCGGTCTCAGAGTTTGAATTATGGGTTATGAAAGAATTAGCGCATTTATTAAAATACGTAATTAAATTAGATACGTAGCATACGGCCATAATTTGTATTACAAAAAATATTTATATTGTTACGTGACTAATAATAACGGGTTCTGGATTTGACGATTGTATTTTTTGGAAATTCTTTACAATTACAATCAATTACGACAACTCAAATCAATGATTATCTAAGACTCGATCCAATCCTTAGTGGACCACGAGCGTCATCTCTTCCTCTGTGACGAATGACGAACGACGATTCACTGCTCACCGAACCATTGGACTTTCTTACGAATCAATTAGTCAGTCAATTCACGAGTGAACTCTATATTATAACTTGGGGCGAACCGACCAGAGACCACCCTCTCGAACAGTTCATGTTGTCACGAGTATTACTCGTTGCGGCGGAAACGTGTGTTAGCGAACTGTTGCCTGGCAATGGACTATTCCAAATTTCAGGCCTCATGTCACAATATGTATGCATTAATTTGTATAAGGGACGTAGTTGTAGAAAGCTTTAATGGTTTTAACAATTTTGTCAAACACTGATTTCACAGTTATATGCACTATTTCATGTTATGTGTGTAGATGGATTATCATCCTAAAACAAACGAAAAACTAGAAGCTACATAATCTATTTACTGAAAGTTTCATTAAATAACAAACTTAAGAAATCAATCGAATAAGCATTAAGACAAGCTTCAATAATTCATGTTTGGTACGGAGAAGAATTTATTATATACCTGAAACAAGTAATATATACTCAACTTATAAACGTTGATCAAATTCACTTCAGGAGTACGGAAATCAGTTCAAATATTTGATTAATACATATATTGCAATCATATAAATTAATTATTACGTAATTTACGGAAGGTGCTTTTGAGTATGTCAGCCGAAGGCATTTAGCCGTGGATGATTATTAGGCAGAAAGCAAGAGAATGGAAATATTTCTGGGCTCGTTGAACCTGGGATTCGTTGTCAGTAAAATGAAAGCTACACACTACAATAAGCTACTAACCAGCTTATCCCCGCGTGCGGCTGTCAGCAAGGACTACCCATGTGAATTCCTCGTTTTACACTGCCGCCACACGCAACATGCAACAGAGGTTACGTCCATTTCCTGTCAGCAATGACGTAATTATTGTAACATCGATGTGACGCTAGATTGCGGTCTGTCCTCTCACCCTCGGCCTTCCTGTCGAACACGTTACAGCAAATTCATGTTGTAGAAAATGTGTTCTGTGGGCTTCTACATGTAGGAGCCGTCACATTTCGCCAAGCATTTCTTTACTTAGAGACCAAATGGAATGGCATTCACTCACTTTTCATTTTTCCGCGTAGACTGTCTTGTGAGTAATGCAGCTTAACTTCGTTCGTGATCACTGTTTCAATACACGGACTCCAAGCCTATTTAACAAAATTCTCTGAATATTAAAGCTAACAAAACAAAACGAAGAGTGGGTACTATTATGTACGGCACACTTGAAAGAACTTGGAATCCACACGAAAATACTGCTTAGTATTTATTTACCGTCGCTTTCTCGACTAAATAAATTACCGCGGCTCGAATTCTGAGCGATATTTGCAAAGGATTCGAAATAAAACTGCCATGCATTATCGCTTTATCTAGTAGGGAAGTCTCAGGAAAACTACGAAATTATTCAGTCAGGATAGCCGAACTTCAGGCGGAGAATTAAACCCAGGACCTCCTGAATACGAAACAGCAATGCTCGATATGAACGTATTACAGATTTCTTACGGAGAAATTGCTGAAGGCCGCGAATGACTGGAGGAAGGGCTGAGAACAAAACCAGGTAACCCCGGGGGGTGTTTCAATTGTGCTATTCTGCATGATGAAATTTTGTGGACTTGGCTGTGAGCCTGGGTACAGTGGATCAAAATCGCTGTGTCGCTCCCGACTGATCTCTTTGTGTACAATAGAGGCTTTGTGACTCCTCTGTCTCAGATGTGATTCCCCTCTTCGCACCCCTGACACGAAAAGGAGGCCAAGAGTTGGAGACATATAAAGGTAAAATTGTCCTTGTGCATGATCAACTAAACACCACGCAATGAAGGTATATTGGGGAGTGGAGCTGTAGATCCACCATTCCCCAGGGTAAGGAGCCCCACGTACCCATTAGATAGGGACTAGGTTGGCCGCAGAATCGGCCTCAACAGGCCGAACGTCTGAAGTTCGATTCCAGGCAGGGGGAAGAGATTTTTCTCTACTGCACACGGGCGAGACCGGACATGGGGCCCAGAGATCCTCCTATCAAGGTTATACGTACCTGGGGCTCTTACCTCGGGGATAAAGCAACCGGGGCCCCATCTAGTGGTGAGGTTAAGTATGATGGAGCTATACCTCCATCCTCCCTGTGTCTTCATGGCATAGTGTTTATTTAATTAAATATAGGGTCAACAGTATCTATTTCGACATGTCAAGTACACGGTACTTCCGTATTAGGTAGCATGAGTTTGGCTTTATATGTCTAAACATCTCATCAATTTCCATTTATTGTGATCCAGATTAAAATTTCTGATCTGAAGAATTTCAAAAGTAATATAAGAAATTTAATAAACCATTCAATAAAATGCTTCCGTCTAGTAAACCCCTTTACTACAAAATTAAAAAGGAAGATCCGATCATGTCAGAGACATATGTTAGAATTCTAAAGTGCACATTTCAGCTGTATTAATTTATTATCAATTCTTAAAAGGCTAGAAGAAGATTCAAGTCCCTAAACTGAAGTATTTTTCTTAATTCCAGCCCTTTGTTGCAGTTCCTACATGTGCTGAAAAATATGATAAATGTTCTGATTTCGTTTTTAAGATTTGTTTCATATTAACATGTAGGAGAACCCGTTCACTGCCTGCCGTCCACTTTTAAT